CATTTTCTTGGACTGCAAGAAGACTTTTGACACAGTACCACACAAGAGATTAGTGCAAAAACTAAAGGACCAAGCAGGGATAACAGGGAAGGCACTGCAATGGATCAGGGAATACTTGTCAGGAAGACAGCAGCGAGTAATGGTACGTGGCGAGGTGTCAGAGTGGGCACCTGTGACCAGCGGGGTCCCACAGGGGTCAGTCCTAGGACCAGTGCTGTTTCTGGTATTTGTGAACGACATGACGGAAGGAATAAACTCAGAGGTGTCCCTGTTTGCAGATGACGTGAAGTTGATGAGAAGAGTTCAGGCAGAACTACAAAGGGATCTGGACAGGCTGCAGACCTGGTCCAGCAACTGGCTCCTGGAGTTCAATCCCACCAAGTGCAAAGTCATGAGGATTGGGGAAGGGCAAAGAAGACCGCAGACAGAGTACAGTCTAGGGGGCCAGAGACTACAAACATCACTCAAGGAAAAAGATCTTGGGGTGAGTATAACACCAGGCACATCTCCTGAAGCGCACATCAACCAAATAACTGCTGCAGCATATGGGCGCCTAGCAAACCTCAGAACAGCATTCCAACATCTTAATAAGGAATCATTCAGGACCTGTACACCGTGTACGTTAGGCCCATATTGGAGTATGCGGCACCAGTTTGGAACCCACACCTAGCCAAGCACGTAAAGAAACTAGAGAAAGTGCAAAGGTTTGCAACAAGACTAGTCCCAGAGCTAAGAGGTATGTCCTACGAGGAGAGGTTATGGGAAATCAACCTGACGACACTGGAGGACAGGAGAGATAGGGGGGACATGATAATGACATACAAAATACTGAGAGGAATTGACAAGGTGGACAAAGACAGGATGTTCCAGAGATTGGACACAGTAACAAGGGGACACAGTTGGAAGCTGAAGACACAGATGGATCACAGGGATGTTAGGAAGTATTTCTTCAGCCACAGAGTAGTCAGTAAGTGGAATAGTTTGGGAAGTGATGTAGTGGAGGCAGGATCCATACATAGCTTTAAGCAGAGGTATGATAAAGCTCACGGCTCAGGGAGAGTGACCTAGTAGCGATCAGTGAAGAGGCGGGGCCAGGAGCTCGGACTCGACCCCCGCAACCTCAACTAGGTGAGTACACACACACACACACATCATCATCATCACACACCAGACATCATAGCAGTTACAGAAACAAAACTCACGGAGACAATAACAGATGCAATCTTCCCACCAGGATACCAGATCATGAGGAAAGATAGAAGGGGCAGAGGGGGAGGAGGGGTTGCTCTGCTCATAAAAAAACGATGGAAATTCTAGAAAATGGGAGGCATAGACGAGACAGGAGAAGGGGACTACATAGTAGGTACACTTCAGTCTGGGGAGCACAAGGTGGTCATTGCAGTGATGTATAATCCACCACAGAACTGAAGGAGGCCAAGAGAGGAATATGAAGAGAGCAACAGAGCAATGGTGGACACACTTGCTGAGGTGGCAAGAAGAGCTCACTCCAGCAGAGCAAAGTTGCTGGTTATGGAGGATTTCAACCACGGAGATTGACTGGGAAAACCTGGAGCCACATTGGGGTCCCGAAACATCGAGATCCAAGATGTTGGATGTGGTGCTGGAAAACCTCATGCACCAACATGTTAAGGACACTACCAGAGTGAGAGGGGAGGATGAACCAGCAAGATTGGACCTTGTGTTCACCCTGGGCAGTTCAGACATTGAGGACATCACACATGAGAGTCCCCTAGGAGCTAGTGACCACATGGTTCTGTGCTTTGAATACATAGTAGAGTTGCAAGTGGAGAGAGTAACAGGAGTTGAATGGGAAAAGCCTGACTATAAAAGAGGGGACTACACAGGGTTGAGGAACTTCCTGCAGGAGGTTCCGTGGGACAGAGAACTGGCAGGAAAGACAGTAAATGAAATGATGGAATATGTAACAACAAAATGCAAGGAGGCAGTGGAAAAGTTTATTCCCAAGGGCAACAGAAACAATGGGAATACCAGAATGAGCCCCTGGTTTACCCGACGGTGTAAGGAGGCAAAAACAAAGTGCAATAGAGAATGGAAAAAGTACAGAAGGCAGAGAACACATGAAAACAGGGAGATCAGTCGTAGAGCCAGGAATGAGTATGCACAGGTAAGGAAGGAGGCCCAGCGACAGTATGAAAATAACATAGCATCGAAAATCAAAAATGACCCGAAACTGTTGTATAGCCACATCAGGAGGAAGACAACAGTCAAAGGCCAGGTGATCAGACTGAGGACAGAAGGTGAAGAACTCACAAGAAATGATCAGGAGGTATGTGAGGAGCTAAACAGGAATTTAAGGAAGTTTTTACAGTATAGACAGGAAGGTCTCTGGGAAGACAGCACAGAAGGGAACATCAAGAGGGAATATACCAACAAGTGCTGGATGACATACGAACAACCGAGAAGGAGGTGCAGAAGCTGCTAAGTGACCTTGATACCTCAAAGGCGATGGGACCGGACAACATCTCCCCATGGGTCCTTAGAGAAGGAGCATAGATGCTTTGCATGCCCCTAACCACAATCTTCAACACATCCCTTGAAAATCAAAATGGTATACAATACCGACAGGATGGTTGTTAAGACACATAGGCAACACTTAAGCAACTTTATTCCGAAACGTTTTGCCTACACAGTAGGCTTCTTCAGTTGAGTACAGAAAGTAGGCAGGAGCAGAAGAGATGTGAAGACGATGTAATCAGTTCCAGACTTTGGAACAGAACTTCTCCAGGCTGAGGGACTGACAACCTCAAGTCTACGACTGTAAGAGTGACGGACTGATTACATCGTCTTCACATCTCTTCTGCTCCTGCCTACTTTCTGTACTCGACTGAAGAAGCCTACTGTGTAGGCGAAACGTTTCGGAAGAAAGTACAAAGATTTCCAACAAGGCTAGTCCCAGAGCTCAGGAGAATGTCGTACAAGGAAAGGTTGAGGGAAATCGGACTGACGACACTGGAGGACAGAAGGGTCAGGGGAGACATGATAATGACATACAAGATACTGCGGGGAATAGACAAGGTGGACAGAGACAGGATGTTCCAGAGAGGGGATACAGAAACAAGGGGTCACAACTGGAAGCTGAAGACTCAGACAAGTCACAGGGGCGTTAGGAAGTATTTCGTCAGTCCTAGAGTCGTCAGGAAGTGGAATAGCCTAGCAAGTGAAGTAGTGGAGGCAGGAACCATACATAGTTTTAAGAAGAGGTATGACAAAGCTCAGGAAGCAGAGAGGGAGAGGACCTAGTAGCAATCAGTGAAGAGGCGGGGCCAGGAGCTGAGTCTTGACCCCTGCAACCACAATTAGGTGAGTACACACACACACACACACACACACACACACACACACACAGAGCCAGGAAGTGGAATAGTCTGGAGTGAGATGTAGTGGAGACAGGGTTCATACGTAGGTTTAACACTTTGACTGTTTCAGGCCCCTTTCTGAAACTGTCATTCTATGTCGCCAAATATTCGGAAAAAAAAATTATTTTTTCTTATGAAATGATAGAGAATCTTTTCCCGATGGTAATGACACCAGAAGTTCGAAATTTGGTCGAAAACTCACGGAATTACGCTCCCGCGAAGTTAGCAGAATCGCGACATATGTGTATCGGCGATTTCGCCGGCTTTGAGCCCTGTTTTCAGCCAATTTTGTTGTTCCAGTTGACCAAACTCATAGCTATTTCTTTAGAACTCCATTTTATCTATCAGCTGAGTACAAGAAACCACCCATTTACCAATTTGAACTACCCAATATAGTGGTCAGAAATTGGCAATTTGGCCAATTTCACGCAAATTAAAAAAGATGCCAATTTCAAAATAGGGTCCAGAATAAACAAGGTAGACATTCTTGGCACTAAAATAGCATATCCTCTGTTCATTAGTCACATCTCTAGGTCCCTTTTATATTATTATTGCTTTCTATTTTGATTTTTTATTCATATAAAAAAAATACAAAATTTACTGTTATGCAGACTACTGCATTATTGTAAAAATGGTATAAATAATATCAGTGCACTAGTGAAAGAATATTAGACTCCCCAGGTGACATGTATTGGACGTATGGTGTGATTTGTTTACTCCTGAACATTGGTAAAAATCGAACATTTCCACTAATTTGAGCTCAGTTTCAAGGTCGTTTTCATCGTCAAAGTAATGAAAATCCTCTCTATTTCTGCAATATGTTTTCCATTTTATCACCTAAGACCATGAAAACGCGAATACAACGATAAATACTATACGAAAATACACCTCAAAGTCGGCGTTTTATTAAAAAAAAAGAGTTTTTTTTTTCTCATTACGCAATGTGTGCTGCAGGATTTTTTTTATGTGGTGCACACTGACCACACAGACCCATTCTCTCACATGTGGGCCTACCAGCTTTCTCCCGCTTGATTTGAAGCCGCTAGAATTATTGAGTATATACACGTCAGAAACATTGGCTCATAAGACGTATTTATACGTCGAAAACAGTCAAAGGGTTAAGAAGAGGCATGATAAAGCTCATGGAGCAGAGAGAGTGTGGACCTAATAGTGACCAGTGACAAGGCGAGGCCAGGAGCTATGACTCGGCCCTTGCAACCACAATTAGGTGAGCACATAGTCTCTTAAAACTTCATGTCATTAAAAATTAAAATAGTTTCTATCTGCCCCATTTCCTCTCAGTAACACGCCTGAACCAAAAAATTTCAGAATTTTGTAATTTCTTAAGATGAACATGTAAAAATAATCCGTACTCTTACACAAATCTTTCTTCTAAAGTGTTTTAAGGATGCATAACCCATAATGAAAGTTTTTCCTCTAGAGAAAAGATTTTCATTTTGCACAATAATTTTAAACATACTACTTGTTAAGCAAAACATCCACTGTGGAAAAAAAGGTAAACTTCGTGAGAAATCACGAAAGCACTTGGACATTAACTATTTTTTCCATGGTGGTTGTTTTGTATTTTGTGATATCACCTGTTTACTGTGATCTTGATACATACTGGATATATGGATGACTTGTTGTAATGTGAAACTTTGCTCCAGGGTCAAAGTCGTGTTCAGAGCGATGTACAGGAGGCTTTATTCCCTGCATGTTATATCTGAAATTATAAATTACACTACATTATATTAATGTAAATTGTGATCAATAATAATGAAGATGAAGAAGCTTAGATAGTTCAGTTTTTCCTGTCAGATATATACAGTGTACAGATACAATATATATATATATATATATATATATATATATATATATATATATATATATATATATATATATATATATATACATATATATATATATATATATACAGTGGACCCCCGCATAACGATCACCTCCGAATGCGACCAATTATGTAAGTGTATTTATGTAAGTGCGTTTGTACGTGTATGTAATGGGGGTCTGAAATGGACTAATCTACTTCACAATATTCCTTATGGGAACAAATTCGGTCAGTACTGGCACCTGAACATACTTCTGGAGTGAAAAAATATCGTTAACCGGGGTCCACTGTGTATATATATATATATATATATATAAATATATATAAAATATATATATATATATATATAATATAATATATATATTATATATATATATAGTAGGTTGGTAGACAGCAACCGCCCAGGGAGGTACTACCGTCCTGCCAAGTGAGTGTAAAACAAAGCCTGTAATTGTTTTACATGATGGTAGGATTGCTGGTGTCTTTTGTCTGTCTCATAAATATGCAAGATTACAGGTAAGTCTTGCTACTTCTACTTACACTTAGGTCACACTACACATACATGTACAAGCATATATATACACACCCCTCTGGGTTTTCTTCTATTTTCTTTCTAATTCTTGTTCTTGTTTATTTCCTCTTACCTCCATGGGGAAGTGGAACAGAATTCTTCCTCTGTAAGCCATGCGTGTCGTAAGAGGCGACTAAAATGCCGGGAGCAAGGGGCTAGTAACCCCTTCTCCTGTATATATTACTAAATTTAAAAGGAGAAACTTGTTTTTTCTTTTGGGCCACCCCACCTCAGTGGGATACGGCTGGTACGTTGAAAGAAGAAAGAAGATATATATATTATAATATATAATATATATATATATATATATATATATATATATATAATATATATATATATATATTGTAGGTAGTAGGTTGGTAGACAGCAACCGCCCAGGGAGGTACTACCGTCCTGCCAAGTGAGTGTAAAACTGAAGCCTGTAATTGTTTTACACGATGGTAAGATTGCTGGTGTCTTTTTTTATCTGTCTCATACACATGCAAGATTTCAGGTATGTCTTGCTACTTCTACTTACACTTAGGTCACACTACACATACATGTACAAGCATATATATACACACCCCTTTGGGTTTTCTTCTATTTTCTTTCTAGTTCTTGTTCTTGTTTATTCCTCTTACCTCCATGGGGAAGTGGAACAGAATTCTTCCTCCGTAAGCCATGCGTGTTGTAAGAGGCGACTAAAATGCCGGGAGCAAGGAGCTAGTAACCTCTTCTCCTGTATATATTACTAAATGTAAAAGGAGAAACTTTCGTTTTTCCTTTTGGGCCACCCCGCCTCGGTGGGATACGGCCGGTGTGTTGAAAGAAAGAAAGATATATATTCTTCTTTCTTTCAACACATCGGCCGTATCCCACCAAGGCAGGGTGGCCCAAAAGGAAAAACAAAAGTTTCTCCTTTCACATTTAGTAATATATACAGGAGAAGGGGTTACTAGCCCCTTGCTCCTGGCATTTTAGTCGCCTCTTACAACACGCATAGCTTACGGAGGAAGAATTCTGTTCCACTTCCCCATGGAGATAAGAGGAAATAAACAAGAACAAGAGCTAGTAAGAAAATAGAAGAAAACCCAGAGGGGTGTGTATACATATGCTTGTACATGTATGTGTAGTGTGACCTAAGTGTAAGCAGAAGTAGCAAGACGTACCTGAAACCTTGCATGTTTATGAGACAGAAAAAACACCAGCAATCCTACCATCGTGTAAAACAATTACAGGCTTACGTTTTACACTCACTTGGCAGGACGGTAGTACCTCCCTGGGCGGTTGCTGTCTACCAACCTACTACCTATAAAGATATATATATATAATATATATATAAAAATTCTGCTATTTCCATATGTTTTCAACTCCTTAGATGAGTTCTGGGATATCCCGGATGAGGCTTTGTTTACCATATTGGTGAATCATAAACTACAACATTTATTTCTCTGTTCACAGTAAGGATGTCATTTATGATGAACATGATGCTACTCAACTGAAAAACGTTCAGATTTCCTTGACATTTAAAAAAAATTATTCATATAAATGGTTTCATAAAATTCTGGGCTGCACATTCTTGGCATCTTCAATGTTTCTGCCCAGGATGCCGATGCTGCGGGTGAACTGTACAATCTGAATTGCCTATAGCATCATCGACTTGAAACTTTTATAGAAGATTCTTTACACAAATAGCCTGCACATAGGAGAGAGGAGCTTACGATGTTTTGGTCCAACTTGGACCATTGACAAAGTCACAAGACTCTTTAGCATGAAGACTCTTCAGTATGAAGTGCATCACCCTTTCCCTGAATCAGTCTGGAATACTGAGGCATTGCTTGTTGCACAGAAGCAATGTTTCAGCATTGAGTATCACCTCATCACTGATAGTCCAGTTGTCCATTTGAACATTTCAGTCAGAATGGATGTTTTAAGTATTGGAAGAGCCCTTTGAAACAGCTGGGCGCTTTTCTTTAGTCTAACCTGATCACGTGCACCAATTACTGTTTCTGAATAACATAATAAACTTCAAAAACATGCTATTTGCTAGAGCGTTCTTGTACAGTGGACCCTCAACTAACAGCGGCATCATCTAACGCCAAAAATCGACTAAGGCTCACTTGGCGCAAAATTTTGGCTCTTCCAATGCTGAAAATTCGTCTAAGGCTTTCGTCCCGAAAGTGTCCATGCACCCGGGCAGGCCCAGCCACTCCAAGACTCCTGTATACCCCAGTGTGCCATTGTTTACAAGCCGCTGCGGTCGATTCCATGCATACATGCAATATATTTTGTATTATTCCATTGTTTTTAGTGCTTGTAACTGCTAAATAAGCTACCATGGGCCCAAAGAAAGTTTCTAGTGCCAGCCCTGTGATAAAGAAGGAAAGAAACACAATAAAATTCAAGAAAAAACTTGTAGTAAAGTACCGAAGTGGAGGAAGAAGAGAGAAGAAAGAATGTGCCTTCTGCAGTGATTCAGTGATTCTACGATAACTATGATACTAAAGCAGCAGGTACTGATAAAGGCTATAGTGCCAGCTAGCGATGAAGTGTAGAATTAACAGTGTAGCAAGTAAGTTAAGGGAGTAAGCTGCCTCAATCGCTGCCTCAACCGCTGCCTCACCTACTGCCTCAATCGCTGCCTCAATCGCTGCCTCAACCGCTGCCTCACCTACTGCCTCAATCGCTGCCTCAACCGCTGCCTCACCCACTGCCTCAATTGCTGTCTCAATCGCTACCTCAACCGCTGCCTCAACCGCTGCCTCGCCCACTGCCTCAATCGCTGCCTCAATCGCTGCCTCAATCGCTGCCTCAAACGCTCCCTCAACCGCTGCCTCATCCACTGCCTCAATCGCTGCCTCAACCGCTGCCTCAACTGCTGCCTTAATCGCTGCCTCAACCGCTGCCTCACCCACTGCCTCAATCGCTGCCTCAAACCACTGCCTCTTCAAAAACATGCTATTTGCCAGAGCGTTTTTGTACAGGGGACCCTCAACTAACAGCGGCATCGTCTAACGCCAAAATCAACTAACGGCTCACTTTGGGGTCAAAATATTGGCTCTACCAATCTTGAAAAACTCGTCTAAAGGCTTTCGTCCCGAAAGTGTCCATGCACCCTGAGCAGGCCCAGCCACTCCAAGACTCCTGTATAGCCAGTGTGCCATTGTTTACAAGCCACTGCGGTCGAGTCCATGCGTACATGCAATATATTTTGTATTATTCCATTGTTTTTAGTGCTTGTAACTGCTAAATAAGCTACCATGGGCCCAAAGAAAGTTTCTAGTGCCAGCCCTGTGATAAAGAAGGAAAGAAACACAATAAAATTCAAGAAAAAACTTGTAGTAAAGTACCGAAGTGGAGGAAGAAGAGAGAAAAAAGAATGTGCCTTCTGCAGTATGTAACTGTATTTGTGTATACTTGAATAAATTTACTTATTTATAAATTAAAATGTAAATATTTCTTATTTATAAATTACACACATTGTTTAAGTGTGGTGGTGGTGGAGGGTTGTGCTGGTGTCTCCACCACCACCACCACAGCTTCTCTCAGTGGCGGTTCTTAAACCCAACAACAACACTTACACCATTTACTTTCCCCTCATACATTATGACATATTTAATTCATTCTAGAGCATATATCATGTTTCTATGTTATTAATACAGTGGAACCTCGGGTTACGAACGCCCCACCATGCAAATTTTTCAGGATACGGGCTGCTGTTCAGTCAATTTTTTGCTTCAGGATATGAAAAATATTTCAGGATGCAAACTTCCCCTTCAAGGGAGGTTCCTTAAATAAATAAATAAAATATATATTTCTTTGCAAAGGTTACAATGTGTGTTTACATATCTTTAAAATGACTGGAGCAAAGAAAGCCACTATCATGCCGAGGCATTTCGGGCAGAAATGCCTACTTAAAGACTACTTAAGTCTAGACAGGTGAAAAGTGTACCAGTAGTAGCTACCAATGAATATCAAAATGGTATACAATACAGACAGGTAGCTACCAATGTTTTGCTGATGGTGGTGCCAACTACTGGCAGCCTTTAGAAGTTTCTCCTTACTGTTATTATTGTTACTATTATATTGCATTGTCATCGGCGGCGGTGGCAGCAGTGGTGACGGCAGCAGCAGTGGTGGCAGCAGTGGCAGCGGCAGCAGTGGCGGCGGCAGCAGCAGTGGCAGCAGTGACGGCGGCAGCAGCAGCGGCGGTGGCAGCGACAGCGGTGGCAGCAGCAGCAGCAGTAGCAGCAGTAGTAGTAGTAGTAGTAGTACGTATGTGGTGAAGGGCTCTTGATCTAGGGAATTTGATCTGAGCTCCAGGTCC